TAAACACACCCCCCCCAAAAACTTTTTTACTAAAAAGTGCCCCTTTGTTAGTTGTTTGGCCCTCCACCCCCAACTCCCCCCCACCAGTCGTTGCTGGCTGGGGAATTCTGGGAGTTGAAGTCCACACATCTTAAAAGTGACCAACTTTGAGAAACACTGCCATACAGTAAACCACATCCAGGTTTGGGATGTTCACCTAGCATAGCAAGGAAACAGACCGGATTGCATTTCAGTCTAGCATGTATGTTGGGCAACTCAACCTGTCTGGGTTCAAAGGGAAATTAATCCTAGGTGGTGCGTCACAGAGTGCAACCTGAACCAGAACAGGACGGCTGCTCAAACAACTGAAGGACGGTGCCCCTCAGATGGGTATGGCGGTCTCCTGAATCCTGAACATCTTCCCTTTCTCACGGCCTGTCTGAAATTATGATCCACAACGAGCCTGTCCAAGGCTTGCCGGGCGCCAAAGACCCGGAATTGCTGGGAAAAGAAGGAGGCAAGGCTGATGACAAAGAATAACCGCTTTATTAAAGATACAGTACACTTGGTTTAGCTGAATACTGCTTTCCCTGCTTTTTTATGACTATCCCTATAATACATTCGTTACTCCAAAGTTCAAACAATTACATTAAATTATTTTTTTTTTAAACTCATATGCCAAATACTGATTGTAATCTGGGAAAAATACACTAGCAGCACAGATGTGTGCACGTGTACGTGCGTGTGTGCTTTTTATGTGTGTGTGTGTATACACACATACATATACACACATAAACACAAACATAGACACAGTTATAGAAGAGTTAAATTCTTCCGTAATGTAGAGAAAGCAGGGAATGTTGACATTTTTTTCTTTTTCTTACATTTGTATTTGTGACATTCAAAAAGAAGAGAGCAGAACTAGGCTGGCGTCCTCTTTTGCTATCTTAAACAGTACACAGCATCGGACTCCGTGACAGAGTAAACTCAACAGGAACGCCACGCGCCTTAAGGTAAGCACGTGGCCACATGCATGACACAGTTTCACCCAGAAGTGTGCTCTGTTTCACGTTTTCAAAAATTTCTGGTAAAGTATTGGCTTCTTAGAAACTCCACAATGATTTAAATACTGAGTTTTCTATTTTACATTCATCTGGAACAAAATTCAGACCGAGGGGAAAATAAATAAATTACATATTAATTAAAAAAAAAGGTCTTGATTTCAGAATTGATCTTCAATAAAAATCTGTTAGAGGATACAAATTGTTGCTGGAAGATTTCCCCCCCCCTTTTTTGGTACATGCACACCCCCCCCACCAAAAATCATCCCAGTCAGAAAAAAAGTCTCCCAAACGTGAGGCTATTTAAAGTCATTAAATCAAGTTACGGTGCTGTGCACAAAAGCCCTCTAAGTTCCGAATAACAGAAGCACTGAAGACAATAAGATAGCTTTCCAAAATATAAATCTTTTTCTTAAATATATTTATATATGTACTTATGTACAACTCTACAGAAGCTGAAAAAACGTGGAGAGATTTCCCCAGGGCACAGCTGAAGAGGTTTGGTTAGAAAAAAAATTTCCCCCGTGGTGGCTGACCTGCTTCATGATCTTGTTGCCTCAACGACGTCTCACACTGTTAAGAAATCTTGTGGAAAGGAAGGCACTACTCCAGGTCTCGCACCAGGTAGCACACGAAAGCTTGCTCACGCGTGTGTTCGTTGATCGAGAGGTCACAAAGCCGAGGAAAACAAACCAACTGAAAAAGCTTGCCTCTTAAACCCATTCCAGTGTCAGAACGTACAAAATCTAAAAACATACATCCGCCGCTTGGAGAGCTTAGTGCAAATATGAAAATTAACAGCATAATTTCAAAGACCTTTAAATTAGCTAAGATAGAACTAGTGCTTGCTTGTTTGACCCCCCTCCTCTCCTCCCCCCCAAAGTAAGCAACGTGACCGGAGGGAAGTTTCTCCCAAAAGAGGATTGCAAACCCAGAAGTTGGAAATGAAAAATGGCAGCACTCTGCCTGTTAAATGATTTATTTTAATTTCAGCTTAAGAAGGGTAGAATAAAATATCTTGCTGTGGAAGACCAGACTGACTCCATCTTTCTAAGCTGGGTGGCTGCTGCAAGGAATTCTGGGAAGGCAGAGCGCCGGTCCTCTCTCTTCTCTCCTGACGGCGACGTCCTTGAATGCTGGTGGTGGACGAGGTCCGACTCGCGCCCAGAGCAACGTTCATTTTCCCCGGTCCTGTCCTGCGTCAGAAGGTCTCGTCATCGTTGCAGTTGGTGGTCCAGTGGCCAAACACTTCGCAGATTTCGCAGTAGGGCCGCTCTTCTTTCCGACTGCCGTGGTAGGTCGAGTGGGGAGGCTCCTCGGGCGCCTGGGCTTGGGTGGGACAGTCTTCGGTGTCGTGGAGGTCAAAGCAGTCGCAAATGTCGCAGAAAAGGCGAGGCTTTTTCTTGACTTGGTTGTCTTCCTCGCTGTCAAGAGAAATGTTGTACAAAAGATGATTGCCTTTCCGGGGAGCTCGCTGATGGAAGTCATGGGGAATTCCACAAGGAAGGTGGCTGGGGAACAGGGGCTAGCAAGAAGCCGGACCCTGCTTTTTCACCACCCTCTAGGCTGTGCTTCTCAACCTCAGCAACTTTAAGATTGTTGAACTTCAACTCCCAGAATTCCCCAGCCAGCTAAGCTGGCTGGGGAATTCTGGGAGTTGAGGTTCAGACATTAAAGTTGCTGAGGTAGAGAATCACTGCTCTACTCCATTCAGCTGTTTCTACCATAAGCCACCCCAAGTACAATGGCCGCCCGAATTCCCAACTTTTGCTATGACCAACCTGTCATAATTAATAGCTTCTTCCTCATTGCCATTGAGAGCTGCCTCAGACATCATTTCCACTTTCGATTTCAGTTCCTCGTTTTTCCTTTGAAGATCCACAATTACTGAATTTAGGAAGTCAATCTGAAGGGTTGAGGATGAGAGGAAAGAGGAGATGTGAGACACACAACACGAGGCAAACCGGATATACAGAACGTCTAGATAGTCCCTTTTAAACACGAGACATCAATCTTAGGCAAACATCAACTGGGGAAACTTAAAATACTTTGAAATAAATATGTTCTAAAACCAAGAATATTGGCTATCCAGAGGCTTTTTAAGGTAACTCACAAGACTGGCCCAGCCATGAAGAACACACGAGAGCTGAAAAATTTGGGAATGGCCACTTTTAGACAAAATCTAAACACCAAAGAACTACTTTTGAGTTTCGATGGAAGACTGGTTTGCTCCAGCATGTTTTTTTCCGACAAACCAGGGGATGCCTGGAAATCTGGAAATCCAGCAGGAGCACATCCTGTGGCATATTGCCTCTGAATGTGGAGATTCCAGACGGTCATCTGGCCATCGGCCATCCACAGGGTCCTCCTTTGCCATGAATTTTAAAGCTCTCCAAGACAGGGGTGGCTTTTAGGCAGGGAATTCCAAGTAGGAGGCCTGAATCTATTGTTGATGATCCTAACATGATGGGTAAAAGGGGAGAAAATACATCCCCTTTCTTTACAAAGCATGCACAATAGTAGAAAGCTCTGTTACATCTGCTCTCATTCCTCTTTACATCTTGAAAACACCACAAAAAGAGAGCCTGGCTCATCATCTTGGTTGGCCTTTCTCAACTCCACGCTACGGCTTTGTAAACTACGATACCCCTCAGTTGTAATCTCAATAGTTCCATCTCCTTGCGGGGAGAAAGAGAGCAGGGAGGAAACAGCCCAAGAAGACCCCAGCAGACTATCATCATGGCGATGGTAGCTCAGCCACCCTTGTTTATTGTTTCTCCTCTTCTCTCCCTCCGCTTTCTTACAAAAAGAACAAGGGTTCCCCTCTAGGAGGCTGAGTGGAGGAGAACAATAGCTACCTTGCTGAATGACACCAAGGTTATTATAACTGAGAACACTTATTTTTAAAAAGCAGAGAAAGCTGAAACAAACCATATGCTGATTGCAGGAAATTTTTCCCAG